GAGGAGGAGGAGGAAGATGGAGAGAGGAAGGAGGGGTAGAGGAGAGAGAAGGAGGTAGAGGTGACAGGACAGGAGAGAGAGAGAGAGAGAGAGAGAGAGAGAGAGAGAGAGAGAGAGAGATAAAGGACCCTCGCTAGCACAAGACGCCATTAGAGGCATAGACACACCAGCTGACAGTGGTTTGGCCTTCTGACCAAATCATGCCACACTCCACCACCATACCACACCACCAACACCACCACCACACCACATCACACCACCAACACCACACCAATTATACTTTTGTTCTCGTTCCTCCTCCTCCTCCTCCTCCTCCTCTACCCCCTCGTTCTCCTTCTGCGTGTTCAATATTGTTCAGTGGTGATGGTCAGTAATGATATTTGTTCAGTATTCCTAATTAATCATGGAAATTTGTTCAGTATTCTTGGTGTGTTCAATATTGTTCAGTATTCTTGGTGTGTTCAATATTGTTCAGTATTCTTGGTGTGTTCAATATTGTTCAGTAATCATGGTATCTGTTCAGCATTGTTCAGCGGTGATGGTGATTCCCCACACCTACATTACGTGTTGGTTTATAATGAGTAACGGATTATCAGGCAACAGGAAACAACAGTTCGTAAATATACGTAGGAAATGGCGCGTCATCATATTAAACAGGAAATATTTACCAGTAAACCGGATCTGTCCTGGGATGATGTACACACGATCTAACTGTTCATACGGGACTTATTAGGAGATGTTCTGATTGGCTACCACGAGAATTACACAGTGACGTCAGAATAAAAGGCCATGATGTCACATTTGCCATGTCTTGATTGGTTACCGCGAGTATTACTTTGTGACGTCAAAACAGTGGTCGTGACATCACATTATTATTATTATTATTATTATTATTATTATTATCCTAACCCAAACCCTATCCTAACCTAACCCTTCCCCCCCCTCCCCTTCAGGTAGAGTTAGGGCGTTTCATCAACAGGTGAGGTGTACTGCAGGTGAGTGAGTTAGAGCTTCCGGTAATTCCGTCGTTGTTATCAGGACTGAAAACTCAGATCCCGAGCGTCGTTTCTCATAGCTCATGGGGTGACGGATGTGGTGTATGAACGTGTTGAGAAATATGTCTCATCCTAAGAAGTCGTGTTTCTCATGGCGTGTAGCACAGGTTGAAGAGCATTATTGGTTAGGGTAGGTTAGGTTAGGGTAGCTCAAGGAGAGTTGGGTGTGGTTGGGTGTGAGGGTGTGGTTGGAGGTGTGAGGGTGTGGTTGGAGGCGTGAGGGTGTGGTTGGAGGCGTGAGGGTGTGGTTGGAGGTGTGAGGGTGTGGTTGGAGGTGTGAGGGTGTGGCTTAGGCGGGAACGAGTAAGTACCTGCTGACACTGTGGACGGAGTTTGTTTTCTCTCCGTGCTTGTTTACACCTCAGTGAGATAGTGAACAACTGAGCATCACCAAGCGCAACTCCCAGCCCGCCTCTCTCATGTCACCACCCACCTACTTTATGATAAGGATACTACTACTACTACTACTACTACTACTGAGAGAGAGAGAAAGGAAAGAGAGAGAGAGCTATTATCTTTTGTAGGACACTAGCTAATCCTAATTAATCCCCCCCCCCTATTTAACCATTAAAGACTAAACCACAATCCTCATAGTTAGACCCAGATTCACTTAAGATTGGGGATTGGAAGGAAATGGAAGAAGACTAGAGGGAAGGTGTTTGATTCTGACTGATTCCTCTTAACAGATTCTCAAAGATTCTCTCTATGTTATATCACAACTATAGAGACAAAGACTAACATTCTTACGGAAACTTCAAATATTCTCTAACTAACTGGAATTTGTCATGTTGGTTACGTTAGGTTAATTATGTTTAGTAAAATTCGGTAAAAAAAAAATTGAAAGTATAAATATTAACAAAATGTCTTAAAAAATGTAAATAAATGTATACCAGATGCTGCAGGTGTCCGTCCGTCCGTCCGTCCGTGAAGAGTGTCACTGCCCCTGTAAAATAATCGTAAGGTAAATAATTAGACGTAAGGGGATGCTCCTCTTAAGAGAATATGTGTGACGTAACGAGATAAAGTTGTCTGGAAGTGTGTGTGCAGCAGCGGACAAAATCTTCCTACTGTTACCCACCACAGAGAGCTTCCCACCCCACCCTGACCCAACCCCGACCGAGACCCAACCCCGACCCGACCCCACCCCGCCCCGCCCCAGAATCTCCCAGTCAAGATGTCGGACCGAACAAACGCCTCTGGTGATTATTTTTATACCACCAAATTTATGAGAAGTCAGATCCATCCTGGGTGAGAGATGGTGCTGCCTATCTCCTCCCTCACCCTCACACCCCCATCACCCCCATCACCCCCTCCCCTTCACCCCCTTCACTACCTCAAGGTCCATTATGTCTCCCTAATCCCTCAAACACATATTAGTTTTACCAGTAGGGGACGAGAGAGAAAGAGAGAGATTTGGGGAGCTTTCAGAAAGACAAGGAAAATAAGAAAGAGAGAGGAATTGATAAGAGAGCAATAGATAGTAAATGGATGAAGAAAATAGAAGAGAAAGGGAGGGAGACGCCGGGAGATTGAGTAAGAAAGAGAGAAAGAGCGAGAGTAAAAGAAAGTACACATGGTTGTTGAGCCAGTACACACAGCAGGGGGTAATGGCATAATACTCTTGGGGTGGTGTTGGCGGCTCCTCTCACCTTTGTTTACCTCCTCCAGGTGCTCCTGACGGTACAAGTGGGCCACCAGAGGAACCCCTGAGTCTTGGGGGTCCATCTCCCGACGACCCTGTTGGAGTAGAGGCTCCTGTAGGTAAATATTATCCTTTTGGTGCAGGTGGAGACTGTCTCTAGGGCTAGGTGGAGACTGTCTCTAGGGCCAGGTGGAGACTGTCTCTAGGGCCAGGTGGAGATTGTCTCTAGGGCCAGGTGGAGATCACCCCTAGGCCAGGGTGAGACTGCCCCTAGGCTGTGTGAGACTGTCTCAGGGCCAGGTGGGAGACTGGTCTCAGGGCTGTGCAGACTGGGTTCCCTAGGGCCAGGTGGAGACTCCTTAGGGTGAAGCCTCTGTTAGCGCAGGTAGTTAGTCTTGTTGACATACAAAACGGTTCGCCCACATGACCCCATACAGTACACATATGATAGAAGAGAGACACTCTCTCTCTCTCTCTCAATGTTCACTAGTGGAATGGGAACACAGGAAGAGCTTGGCCCAGGGTGACGGAAACTGTGGGTCATAGTTGTTTACAGTCCTGGAGGTGTGTGTGTGTGTGTGTCCTGTTTACTGTTTTGTGTACTGTACTTGTAAAATGGGGAGCCTTGTGATAATGACTACTGGAGACAATTCTTAGGATTACATGAAGATTAGGTTAGGTTGTAGGTTGGTTTAGGTTAGGTTAGGTAAGGTTAGGATAGGTGAGGTTAGAGGTAGGTAAGGTTAGGATAGGATAGGATAGGTGAGGTTATCGTCAGGTTAGGTTGGTTTAGGTTAGGTTAGTGTTAGGGGTAAGGTTAGGATAGGTGAGGTTATCGTCAGGTTAGGTTGGTTTAGGTTAGGTTAGGTTAGGTGTTTTATCATCAGGCAAAGAAAGCTCGAGGGCTTAATCTTCCGGTGCTCCTCAATATAAAGCTGATTTAAGTCACTTTAATATTGTATTTGGCCAAGACAGACGATTTAGTTCATCACAGAGAGACTCCTCACCCCAACCCCCTCCACCCCCACCACACAACCCCACCCACCCCAACCCCTACCCCATCACCCACACCCACCCCTCCCCACCACCCCCTCAACCCCGTACCCAAGGGGCTAAGTAAGTGAAATAGGCTCTGGGGAAAATACCAGATCATGACTGAGTTTCCTGTATGGATGTTGTTCTCGTCTGTCTGTCTGTCCGTTTATCTGTCTCTCTGTCTGTCTGTCTGTTTATCTGTCTCTCTGTCTGTCTGTCTCACCACCAACAAAATGCCGTAATCTAACCTAAATTTAGCCAATCTAACTTAATCTAATCTGACTTAACCTAAGTGAATCTAATCTAACTTAACTGAACGCACCCTAACATCCTAACTTAGATTACGATAGGTTAGGTTAACATTAGATTAGGCAAGGTTAGGTTAGGTTATATTTTTCAAAGGGAACGAGAAACAATAAATATTACAACATCGCTAACATCTGTGTCATAGTATGTCACCCTCTCCAACAACCTTCCTATTGGCTCATTTTACCTCTACGTCATACCTGTTGTGTCGTGATTGGTCAATATTGCAGACACACTATCGGAGACAGATGATTGGTTCTTTTAAAAGTTATCCAGTTTCAGATAATTTTGTTGAAAGTCGTTTATTTCTCTTAAGTTATAAAGTGAAGGTTGTTATTTTATTCGTGTCGCAATAACTACTCGTTAAAATAAGCATGTCCGTGGTTATCCTTTCAAAAAGTGTGCACGAGAATGAGTAAATGGCGGCTGCATTTCTAAGAAACATTATTGGCAGCTTTGTGCCCAGGCTACATGTTGACCGAGGCTCGTCTACTGCCATAACATTATTACCATTATAAATTGTCACCTGTATCTAACTCTTAAGACAATACATCAGATTAAATATTATATCACACCTACTTTACATAACGCGTCTTGGTATACTGACAGATAAGAGAAAATAATTCGCTCGAAAGTAGGCAATGCTTTTTCTCGTGAACTGGGTTACTTGTGGTTCACTACTGTTTACACGTTGGGCCCGTCCGAAAATGCCGCCTTCCCTCGCCGGCGGAGTCAACATCAACGTTATTGTTCATCTTCCTTCCCGCTAGAATTACTAATTACTCAAAGAGAAAACTATAAGATAGTAACTTGTTGTAGATGTCATTAATACCGTTCGTTTATATGACAGTATAATTATCTAGTGGTCAAATAATTATGGCTTGTGACCATATTCGGACACCAGGGAAGGCGAAGTGTATTTAAACCTCGGGCAGGACGCTGGAGGCTTATCTTAGTGAGCGCCTGGCGTTGAGGAGACACACACTCTCGCTCCTCTTGCTAGTGAACTTGTGCCTTGTGTTTTTACTAGCACACTTAACTTAAAAACTCAAGAGAAAAATACGGACTCTCGAGATCAGAAAAGAAAAATATTGTGCTACGCGTGTGAGTGAAGGTGGAAAATAATACCCTCGTGTCTTGCGTGTGGAGCAAACTTGACCAAGAAACAACCTGGGAATGCGGAGACTTAGTGATACACCCGGGTAAGTTGGCCTTCTCTCTCTCTCTCTCTCAATAACCATAGACTCTGATACTAATAACGTGGTATTTAAATATTCAACCAACAGAATTCTTCCCTGTCAGCTCAACACATGGTCCAGAAGACGCTCCTGAAGGCTTGATACACCCCCCACCGTAACCTACTGAAGGGGTGTGTAAAGTCGAGTTCAATACATGACTTGGGAGACGGGCTATAGCAGGGTTGTCTTGAGTGTGGACAGAGGCGGTCGGTTACACTATCAAGGAACGTGTCGCAGAGTTTAGTCACTTAAAAGAATTGTGGGAAACTGTTAAAATAAGTCCTACGAGACGGTTTCCTAGTGGATAGAACCCTTTGATATAATTTTCCAATAGACAAATTTTATCGGACAGTTTTTCAATAGACAACATTCTAGACAGTTTTCCCAATAGACATTTTCATAGGCCGTTTTCCAATAGGCAGAACTATATCAGTTTTGCAATAGACAACCATATCAGAGTTCACGGTCGACAGAATATTCACCGTCAGTTTAACAAAAGCGGACGCGTCAAGTTAAACTGCTTTTAGTGTTGAGAATTTGTTCTTACAGAATTTATCTTATCTCAGGTCGTTTGTTTATTTCCACTTGAAGAAAACAACAAACAAATGGGATACAATAGTGGAATAACTTTGACTAAGGGAGATAAATGTAATTAATATATGAGCGAATGAACAACACAATCCTTACATGTAATTCCAGGTTGGACACGGTAGACACGAGATGTATATAATGAAAAATGGCGGGAAACGAGAAGAGGAAAAGACCTGTTAAACCTACGTGTTAATTATATACAAAAGAATGGTGTAATGTTGACAGAAAAGCTCCATATCTAAAGACTGGTGTTTTATTTTTGAGACAGGATATTGCAGTAGTAGTGTAAAAGGATATGTGGTGTCGGTGAATTTGTAACTGATATAGCCTAGTGTATTGTGCACCCTTTACTGAACCTGTGAGAGGTAGTGCAACATGATTACATAGAGACTGTAGAGGTCACATATCACTTTTATCACACCTCAATAGTCAACGTAGCATTAAATATTATAGAGTTGATTCAATGCACATGTTCACAAAAGCTTTTATATAGGAATTGATATATTGGCGTAAAATGTGTATATAGTTTTAAGATATCATACATACTATCAACATCAAGTGCTGCGCCATTTCACACTGTATGTTTACACAGTCACTAAGAAGCTCATGTTCTCACGCTCCAAGTCTTAGCGGTTTAATAGATGGCCAAATCTTGGTCCACATATTGTACAGTACAGGGATGATATAGTATGGAGAGTCGTGTGGCCTACTGCCCATGTTAATTCCTCCGTGTTTACATTATGTATAGTGGAGTGGTCATGTGGTGTAATGGTGTGTGTGTGTGTGTGTGTGGTCATGTGGAGGTATGTGGAGTGATGTGGTGTCGATGGTGACAAGCAAAAATTAATGTTCGAGTCAACTATAAGATCATTACTACATGACGGCATCCATATATAGGCGGAAAAGAAGAAGTACAGTTTTAAGTTAGTAACATCCTTCTCGGGGTTGTGAGTTAGTATATACGAGGCTAGAGTTGTGAATTAGTGTATTTCTGATTCGTTTATTGAGTCAGTACAGTGCGTTCAGTTTTAGTAGCGTGAAGGTCTGTTTACAACCGTCCTTGATTACCGGGAGACTTTCACGCCCGTATTGTTAAACAACATCTTCCCTTGAAGAGGGTCGTCGTGTTTCAACCCGAGTTTTAAAATAAACGAGTCCTGAGGGACACCGCAGTACAGTACTTAACGGGGAGGTGTGGCGGTACAATTAACTAATTTCAATATTATAAATTAATTTTATTGGAATTAGTTACTTGTACCGCCACACCACCCCGTTAAGTACTGTACTGCGGTGTCCCTCAGGACTCGTTTATTTTAAAACTCGGGTTGAAACACGACGACCCTCTTCAAGGGAAGATGTTGTTTAACAATACGGGCGTGAGGCCACTACACACACACACACACACATATATATATATATATATATATATATATATATATATGTAAAGACCTAGGACTTAGGGATAGAAATCCCTTTCCAGACTAATCAGGATCTTAATAAAGGAAAGTCAAGGACCATGGTTTTCTGAGGAATAACAAACAACCGTTTGAGACTGGCATCACTTAACTATAAAAAATATAACAAAACTCTGACACCACTCAACAAACATCAAATAATTACGGGAGTCAAACAAATAAGGCAGTCAACAGTTAATGGAGTCAAACAATTAAAGGAAGCAAAAAATTAAAGGAATCAAACAAATAATGGGAGTCAGCAATTAATGGATTCAAACAATTAAATGGAGTCAACAATTGATAGAATCGAACAATAAAGGGGAGACAGCAATTAATGGAATCAAACAATCATAGAATCAAACAATGAACAAAGATTTCCTACGGCAGTGGTCCTGGGGGAAGGTTCTGGAACACGTTGATGCACACTCAGGGTAGGGAAGCGTCCATTCAACTCCACACTCGGCGACGTCTTGAAATGGCAGGAGAACACCGGGGCACAGACGGAATGTGATGAACTGATGGTCGTGGTATGCGGTAGATGACCAGAGAGTTGGCAGTTGATAGGTGAAGGTCTGGGGACACAGCCCACGAGTCCAGGACCTATGATGAGATCACAGCCAGAATTTGACGGACAGCCGGGTAGCTAGATACTGACGGTATGGCGGCTGGGTTGAATCTGCCGGTGACGCAGATAGTCGCTGCCGTTCTCACCTCTGTCCAAACAGCCCCAAGTGTCGTCCGCACTAGCAAACAAGCGAGTTAGCAGCGGTAACCAGCAGGAAGATCGTTTCCGCCCTTACAATATATATATATATATATATATATATATATATATATATATATATATATATATTATTTATTATATATATATATATATATATATATATATATATATATATATATATATATATATATATATATATAATTTATTTATTTATTTATTTTTATTTATTTATTTTTTTATGGTGCGCTGCCGCAAAATTCCTTTTCGTCATACAAAATTTAGGTGTTTTGTAGATAGTTTAATGGCGCTGAAATCAAATGACAGAAATTGGAGCGTTCTTTAACCTGTCACTTTATACATAGGGCTGTAATGCGTTCTCCAAATGTACACAGTACTTTAATTAATAAATGTACGTACGGAAGCTAAAGGTAGAGGAGTAAAATTATAACTAAATTCATTATTATTTTTAAGACTGCCGCCAGCTGTTACCATAACGGCGTCAGGTAGTAAACAGTGGTTCTTGCCCATCTTGGAATAAACCCTTGCCTGACTTAGAACTGATTTTGTACTGTCACTTTGTTCTGTTAACTACTTTTTCAAATATTAATTTTGTTCCTATTTAGACCATTACCTAATGTGTGTCACAATCGGTGAATTCATAGAATGTATCATGGTCATAGACTGTGTGACGGTGAAAGTTAGTTATCTTTTGTCACACAACGTTCTGTAGTCAGCTGTTGTTTTGTTGTAGCACACGTACACACACATACACACACTATTTATCATCCTTAATATCTGAAGGAAAGTTTACTCTGCTTAGCTAGTTCTGCTGATGCCTTTCTGTATACTAACATGTCGCTTTTTACTGTGTGCACGACGAACATCAATATAAAGACACTGGACATATTACCATGAACGAACTGTAAATGTCTTGTAACCTAATTAAAAACTTTCATCAATGTTACCTAAATGACTTGGGTTAGTCTTGAGTTAAATGGCACGACAGACACCACGAATGTCCAAAAATCCAAATCCTGGTTACATAAGAAAAGAAACAACATTGAAATATTTCTTCCGGATTCTCAAATTTCTGTACTTTAAAATTCATCTTGTAAGAGGGTAGTATCAGTGTAGGTTTGAATTCCATATTAATTACTGTTTTGTGTTATGTTTGATGTTGGTCTGGTATATTTATGTTCTAATATTCCAAGTTAGGGGAATATAACAACTTTGGCCCAACATCGTACTTTGGGAGGTATTTTTAAACTATTTTCATATATATCCTTCCTCCTTCACTAGATGGTGGACAGTGGTGGTGGTGGTGGCGGCGGTGGTCGTGGGTATCACGGCGCAGGACCAGGTCTTCCCTAAGTTGTTTGACACCGACGGCTTCCCCAACCTTCTCCACTACTCTAGAAACGACGTCTACCCGACCAACCAAGTCTACCCGACCAACCAAGTTTACCCGACCAACCAAGTCTACCCGACCATCCAGGTCTACCCTACCAACCAAGTCTACCCAGCCATTCCCAGTCTTCCCCCGGTGAGTGATGACTCGTGTATACTGACTAATTTTACCGTAATATTTCTAACCTGAAAGTGATGTTGATTTTTATTCCAAAAAATCACAATACACGTAACAAGTTATTATAAAACTGTAATTAGTAACTTTGTTTATGAATGAGGAAATAAACCGATGACTTAGGGTATAGCTGTATTCCGCCCTGTCTTTATAGCCAATGCATGGGAACAACATTCATAATACATAGACAGATATTCAATATAGCCGTCATACAAGTTTTCAGTTACTTCAGCATGTATATGGACAATGTAACTAGATAGTGTGGTTATGTATACAGTGATAAACAGTAAGGTAATTCGACCAAGGATACCCAACAGAGCCACCCGATGCTTATTTCCAGTAGGGTCTCACATTACACAAAGCAATTATGACAAAAAAAATGTCTCTCTCAAACCTTCTCTCACCAATGTATAATCCATGTTTATTGTGGCAGTTCTCGAAGGCTCGGGTGCTTAACATGACCCAGACGACGGACTTGCGAGAATACATCATGAAATATGTGAAGGACCCAAGGATCTGCTCCTCCAAGCTCCTACGAGAACTCATCCTGGGCAAGGTAGGTTCCTCGGGTTGATCCAGTTCATGTTCATTGTATTAAATTTAGTTCATTTATTTAGAAACAATATTAGTGGTAATATTACACGTTCTGAAATGAAAATGTAAAGTTTATTCAGGTACAAAACCAAGGTAACAACAAAACGAAATGAGAGTTTGGGTAAAAATTTTTGTGCTATGATTGTTATAAATACCAGTAAGAAAAATACATTTATTTAGTGATTATGTAATAGCTTGCACACGTAACTCAACCATAGTAAAGGAAGAAGGAAGAGAGAGAATTGTTTGTCTTGTGTAACTAAATAAGATTACCCTAAATTGATATACAGATATCAATTTAAGAAAGAAAATGGCACTGGAAAAGGCTTTTGAAGGCAAACTACAGGATATTTCAATAAGTATTTAGGTATTTAGAATTTTGTCCGTATTGACGTATAAGTGTTCGTAATGAGAATTGTTGCTACAGTCCACATATACAGGTACACACAATTTGAATTTATTTCCGGTTCTGTTAAGGTTTAGTTGTCTCTTCCATTTCAACTTTACACTGTTTGTTGTCTTCCAACTTAATATCTCTTATCAGTATTCATGTGTCTCATCTGTACCGTACGTACTCACTTTCTCTGGCTTTCACTTCTGCTCCTGACCCAGACCATCATAACCCTGTGGTCTTGTATCTATATATGGTAATGACTTCTTACGTCTATGTTAGTGTCTTTAGTATACGTGTAATGATGAATTTGTCCTCACCTTTGTATGTTCTTGCAGGAGGAAACAGACGTAAGGGCCAAGATCTGGTGGAGTAGACGGTGCCAGGGGCGCCGTGGGAGCCCAATAAACACTTCTACAAAATTGTCAGAAAGTACGTTGATCAGATACCGTCGCAAAAGTACAAATCGTTCGAGTCCCAAGAACACTCTGGACCGTAAGTTGCGTGTCACTGCACGTAGTGTCCACAGGTAGACGTAGTGCTAAGTGAACAAAATAGTTCCTCTCTCAAATCTTCCAAAATACGAAGATTGTCCGTATGATTGTTTTTATCTGATATCCTTTTTTGGTCCCCAACTCTTATTTGTAACTTTTCACATAATGGCTCAACTATGCAGTGAAGCCTTGGCAAAAAAAAATAATAATAAAATTATATTCAATGGAATTTGACCCCTTTTCTCTGGATGAATTTCAAACAGTGACACCAACATCATGGCTTACTAGACAGGCCATGATAAGGTTCTGGAAAAAAAAAATATACTGTATGTGATGTCTTGTATATGACTGTATCCATATTTGTTTTCCATCTTCAAGTTTTAATAAAAAATAATAATAACTATAAAATGAAATATCACTTTCTTGTGCTTGTGCTTTTCATGCTTTATCAAGATATGCAGATACTTAAAAGCAATTAATGTATTGTCTATTTATATCTGCTTACTATGATTGAATAGCACATCAATAGCTTGAGTGTTGAGAAATTGAATCATAGGTTTAGTTCAATGGTAAATAATGTTCTGACCATACCCTCCTCTTCTGTAGGTTCTGTAAATGACAAACGTATGAAGAAGCTGGAATCACTTCTCAGGAACAAGAAGATTCAGTGTAACGCCAAGAAGTCGGTAGTAAAGCTGCCCAACGATGACTCGGACATAACGTCCTTGAAGCCCTCCTGTGTGTATATCAAACAGTGTGGTGGCTGCTGTGACTCCCCGTTCCTTGAGTGCCGACCTACCAAGATAAAGAAGAAGACTTTTTGGGTAATACTGTGCTTGTCCAGAGTCTTAGTGACTTCATGTGTCATATTAGTCACCTGTTATGTTCATCCTCCCTATGTCAGTACCTGTATGGTCACCTTCCCTATGTCAGTACCTGTATGGTCATCCTCCCTATGTCAGTACCTGTATGGTCATCTTCCCTATGTCAGTACCTGTATGGTCATCCTCCCTATGTCAGTACCTGTATGGTCATCCTCCCTATGTCAGTACCTGTATGGTCACCTTCCCTATGTCAGTACCTGTATGGTCATCCTCCCTATGTCAGTACCTGTATGGTCATCTTCCCTATGTCAGTACCTGTATGGTCATCCTCCCAGTACCTGTATGGTCATCCTCCCTATGTCAGTACCTGTATGGTCATCTTCCCTATGTCAGTACCTGTATGGTCATCCTCCCTATGTCAGTACCTGTATGGTCATCTTCCCTATGTCAGTACCTGTATGGTCATCCTCCCAATGTCAGTACCTGTATGGTCATCCTCCCTCCCTATATCATTAACTGTATGGTCATCTTCCCTATGTCAGTACCTGTATGCATCTCAATCTCCATACCTCTTGCAGCTATAAAAGTGGAAAGAGACAAGGATGAGGATAAGGATAGCACACACATGAGAGAGATGAGTTGTGTAAGAAAGTAAATGAGAAATAGTAAGGTTGTCATGCAAACAAAGACAGAAACTTTGGGAAGCAGCATTTGGCTATATACTCTATATTGCTATAAGATTAAGTGTGACAGTTGTGTGGCTGGGATTTATATGAATATTGTATCTTTTGTTGAGAAGCTGTACATAAAACATTGATGGGCTGAATAGTAATACTTTTCTTCACTATTCAAACTGCATTAAATTAACCTTTCTTATATTGAACATTAGAAAAAAAAAAAAAAAAAAAAAATATATATATATATATATATATATATATATATATATATATATATATATATATATATATATATATATATATATATATATATATATATATATATATATATATATATATATATATATATATATATATATATATATATATATATATATATATATATATATATATCTTGTCGTCAGCACTAATCAACTTCATTGTACTTTTTTTCTACAAATTATATTAATGTTAATGTTTTCAACTACTGTATATCTAAAAAATAGTTTGTTTTCCTTACATCCAACAGGTACTGGCCACCAGGAGGGACACATCTGCCATTTCATCTGGTAACTTGTTGCATAAAGTCACTGTAGAAGAACACAAGAAGTGCCAGTGTGAGTGTAAGGTACGTACAGTATTTGTTTCTTCCAAGAGGAATATGCATTTCATAAGCTCAAACTTTAAGTCAATTTAACACTTAGATATTTCAGCAGTGTCTCAAAATCTTATTAATCTTATAATTTGACAACTTTTCACAATAAAATTTTTAAATTATGAGACATGTATGCTGAAGATTATCATAGTTTACACCTTTGATGCTTCGCTCACTCCGAGACTTATGGTTGGCCATTTGGAGCCTCGTACCCAGAGTCTAGAGCCAAAGTAACCAACTAAACACCCAAATGTCATAATCACTTAGACAACAGATGAATTTTTTGTTGAATTGGATATATGAATCTTGTTTAGAATAATTATACTGTGCAGTATATAGATATTATGTTGAGTACAGTAAATAACCTGTTTGCTCTTGTCATGGTACAGGTGCGTGAGACAGACTGTACAGAGAAGCAGCGCTACCATAGTGATTCCTGCAGCTGCTATTGTCCTACAGAGAGACGTACTTGCTCCAGTGGCAAGGTCTGTGTTATACCATTTATCATAAGAGTGAAAATATTGATGGGATAGAACAGTGTTTTTCTTTGAACATGCACACAAACACATGCTTACACACACACACACACAAACACACTTACACACACACATGCTTACACACACACACACATGCTTACACACGCACACACACACACGCTTACACACGCACACGCACCATATATCGTGTAATATTGCCAACTAGACTACTAACCTGACCTTTATATATATATTCCAAGTGATATTAACTCTTTCTTAAATAATAACACTGACTTTGGAATGTTACTGTACAGGTGTGGAATGAGAAGACGTGTGAATGCATTTGTAATAATAAAGCAGAGTGTACCACAGGAAGGGTCTTCGACGAGAACACCTGCAGGTAAGTTGCATCACTTGTTCTTTATTAATCTTAACTGGTTATATCGGGTTTGGATTGGCATGACACTTTTTTTCTGTAGTTGCGTGTTTGTAGAAAGAGGATGTCTATAGTGTGTCTTTTGGTGAAATGGTCAGTGTCAGGCTTTCTTTCATCATCAGAATTTAATCGTAAACAATAATTTAAGTGTTAGGTAATATAAGTCTTCCCAACATACCTGAATTTCTGTTTTAGATTTTGGGGTTCCCAGTTCCTAAGACCCTAACTTGTACTGTAGGCCCATAAGCACTATAAACATCATCTTAACACACGGAGGTTCTGAAATTGTGCAAACATTGGTATCCCTGATGTGACCCTTTAAGATTTTGTAACATCCAATTCCCGGCATACATAATAACGTACATTATGGTTATGATGCTCGACATAATAATCATATAGGTTATTTGTCAGGAATTATTTATTATTAGTAAATTACACTAATTTTATATACACTCCTGTACCTACATGTGTTCACTTCCTGTGTTGACGAAAGACAACTTGTGTGTACGCACCCTTGTCTAACATCAGTGTCTTGTCTTGTTTTTTTAGGTGTGCAGACCCCCGCGTATAAAGACCTTAACAACTTCTAACCCTGAGTCAGAGACAGCGAGACAGTTCTCACATACTCATCAACAGCTGACACAATATTGCTTCATTGTTTAGTCAGTGTTGCTTAACTCGGTCACAGGAGAAATCTGGACTGTCAACAAACTTCTGCCTCCAGCCACTTCAGTGATGGATCAAACTTGGAACTAAATATCTTGACATGTGTGACTCGCTGCTTCAACTCTTACCTGACACTACTAATACCCACCTGCAAACATTCCATTGAACAGGGACGCCTTCCTTGGTTCTTTCAATTATTTCATGTGTTTTCTAACCTACAAATGAGACACACTGAGCTCTTCACTGTATATATGCATATAATAAGAGCACATGTCTTGAATTTTTCTACTCTGTATGACCTGTAATTTGTATAGACATATTGTGATAAGATGTAAACTTGTTGAAAACTCTGGTTCCATGAATGCATCTTCTCGATTTGATTATCTTTACAAAAACAAGTCAGTGTTCTAAGGAAGACTCAATTCCTTTCAAACAATTAATTTATTTGACTTTCGAGAGATTTATAGACTCTTCCGACAAGCATGTCTGGCTGCACATCGCTTCACTGCGTGTCTCTTGTGTATGTTATAAGGAGAACCCCCTCTGTATTGTCCTGTGTCCCTTAATGCTGTCTCTGAACATTATTTATTGTAATCTAGTCTTGTCACAGTGCGTGTTGTCGTTCAGCATACCCACGGTGCGTCCTGCATGGCTTACCAGGGCTCAGGACTGCCCTGAAGCTCACGTGTTCACCCACACATGCCCTTGTCCACTTTCCAGATGTCTGAGGACTTGAATCGCATTCCAGACCTCCCTGTGGGTGAACCTCCAGACCTCACCTCTCTCTTCCCTGGCCACAGCTGGACTTGCCAGAGAAGACGAGCGACAGTTTGGTTGAACACAATGTATTCATGGCATTAGAGCAGTTTATTGGAAAGATATAGTTGCCCCACAGGAAGAGCCCTCAGTAGAGTTAAACAATGAGATACAGTGTTATATTGTGACCTGCCAAGGGAGATATGGAAGATACCTCGGCCTGAAAATAAATATTTATTAAAATTGATATATGTATTATGTATTGCAGTATCATATTCCTTACAACTGTGATTAATTAGGTAATAGGTTATTTTAAGTTCATAAAGACCTGCTCAGCAGGAAAGTTGTAAAGTACATTACTTTTTTACCTGTTGAATTTATGGATTTTTTTTCTCAAAGATCCACCATAGTTTAACCTCTCTCTCTCTATTCTGTTGAGTGTCAGTACCTGGGTAAAGATGGTGGCAGATGGGACCAGTGAAGATGTAACAAGTAATGACTAGAGGTACTCGAACCCTGCCACCATCCTCTACCCAGATGTACTTCTTAAGTTTTGTTATGAGTCTTATATATTATTTTTCTTAATTACAATTGATTACTATTCCTGTTGAAAGAATTTTTTGCTTCAAAATTTTTTTGATTGTTACAGAATACCATAGCAATAAGTATTTAAGCATAGTTATTTGTAGGGTATTTTTATATGTTAAAAACATGATTTTTTATAAACTGAAAAGGAGTGAGGGACAAAGAGGTGTTTAAGTGAGGGAGTGTGTATGTAAATGTGCCATGAGGGAGCGAATGGCTACTGCTAGTCACTAGGATACACTTAGTAATTTATGAGAGATTACTACACACATATTTAACTAAAATGAATCTTCGATAGTGAATAAAGATTTATTTTAAAGGATGATCTAAGAGTTTTGATGCCTTCTTTGTGTTGTCCTCACCTGACAAGTCCCTTGTGGCTTACTTTCTGTGTCCTCGGCATCTTCAGGTCAAAGTGCCAGGTATGACTACAGTGAAGAGATGTAAACAGATTAATGCTTTACTACCATGTACAGTCTATACACAATGAAATTACTGTAATGTGTAGTCATACACATAAGAAATAAATTCAAATGATCATGATATTGGCAGTGATTGGTAAAATAATGCCATTTGTGGTAAAAGGAAAGCATATTTTGGCATTTACCTGTACAAGGTATAAATAAATAGAGCCTCAAGCATGTGATTATAATGTAAGTTCTATATACTACAAAGTAAATGTATATTGCAGGAAATACTTGTAGTTTATATGAGTACAGTATATCTTGTTGCTGCATGCCATGTTAGTTGACATCAAGTAAAGGTGTTTTGAGATGCACGGAATAGCTAACGCGTTGGCTTTCCCGGACTGTCGTTAAAAAATACGACATTTGTACAGTGTCTTGGAAATAACTGTTGTACAATAGTCTTAATAAAATTAGAACTGTTATTTGGACATAATACAGAAAGAAATAGTGAAGAAAATATATAGAAAAAATATGGAAAGAAAGACAAAAAGGAAAAAAGTCAACCAGTCAACAATTTCCCGCAGCTTGATCCATTTTTATACAGGAAAGGTGGTGCTCCACTACGTACTGTATGTTCTCTCGTCTGGCGGCTGTATTTTTTTTTTTACGGGGATTAGCCCACCCAGGCACAGGTCACTGACCCACATCGGTGCCTGGGGGGCGAAAATTTAATAATAATAATAAATAATAGTCATAATAATTCATAATAAATGTGTTGTTTGCATATAATATATGCACATTACGACGAATTTCAGGTTCGTTATGTCTTAATTTTTGCACTTGCAGAACTGTAATGAACTTTTCACCCTTATTTAAAGTAATTTATGAGTAATGATATTAAAGTTTTAATCATAGTTGAGTAATTATCAATATTGAGACCCTACAATTGTGTGTAAATGAGGCAGAAAGACAGATCAGCAACCTGGGACTTGGTCACAATTTTTGTGATGCCATATGGCAGCAGGGTCTACCATTAGACAACACATTTATGCTTCCAATATCTTCCCAGGCGGTAGTACCTCCCTGTTTGATAGCTGCTTACTACCTACTTAGAAAATTTATATGAAGTTGCAAACTGTAATTTTCATCTTTTTTCATGTTGACTGTAATAAAAATGAAATCACGTCCGCGTGATTATTTCCTGCCTACAGTATAATGCCAGTTGCTTCTGTAGTAAACGAGGACCAGGTAATATGAAAAGAAAAAAAAACTTGTCTAGCCCAGTTGTTCTACTATATGAAGTGTTCTACTCTACGTCCCTTTACTCGTGTGAATTTTTTCTATTATAATAATTTTACATATACTTTTAACATTTGAATTTGTGCCAAGTGGAGCAAGACCCATAAGAAATTACCAATGCACGAATTAATACCCAGTACACCACTACTCTAAATGTTCGTCATAACAGCCATTGCTCAAACTCCAGAGGTCGGCTGCGGGTGACACAAGGTCCTAGCGTCACATGTTCTGCAAGTAACAGGTGGCATACAAACCTGGTAAGTAAAACAAAAAATGAGTTCTACAGTCAGGTAGCACATAATTGCATCTAGTTGTATTTTGAAGTAGAGTTTAGGGAGAAGGCCATAACTAAGCCGCCAAACTTTACAGTGTCATTACCAGTGGACATTCATAAAAAAAAACCCATAGAAAAACCGTCTTGGTGTTTTTCAAGTACCTACTCATTTTTATTATAAAGTTTAGTTTTACAAATTTACATGCGATGAAAAAGTTACTTGGAGGACGATCAATTAATTGGTAAAGGGATAAATGCTAAAACTGGTGAAGTATTTATGTGGCAAAGTAACATGGTAAGTTATTTATGACCAAGACATACACTGAACTAATACAATAATATATGGCTAACAACTGCAGCGTGAAAAGGTTATTATTAAACCTAATATACCAGCCATAACGTTAATTACATTACAAAGTTTTCCTAATATCGTTTATTTAGGTTAGAATGGGTTATGGTATTTTGAGACGTTCATTGTTGTTAGAATCTACAGCTTGTGATGTAATGTGGCTAGGTATATTTTTGGAAGGAAATGTGATGCTGTAGTTGTTATGAAGAGTCAGACTCTGTGAACTATGAGAAAATCCTGGTAGTAGAGACGTGAAGAACTTGTATAGGTTGTGGAAAACATCATTATTCTGACAGCGACATCATACCCACCTACATTTTTATTATAAATTAGGCCCCGAGCTTCGCACTACTTCGTCTTTCTCGGCGGTGAAACGGCATGGCGGGTGTAAACTGAACACCCAGCAGCGATAGTTAATGCCCCTACACAGTCTACTGTAGACCATGTCACTGCCAAAGTGTTATGTATCTTGGTCACTGCTGGATGAGAGTCCCATTAATATATCGCCATGGCAAGAAGGTCATCATAAATGGCGTCGTACACCCCGTAACCGTTCTTGCAATTGGCCCAAGTCTGGTACCGCCATGGAGGTACAATGGATTAAGTTGTGTTACTGCTTAGTAATTGCTACATTATCTGACGTTATCGGAACTAGCAACCAAGAAATGGTAAGATAAAATACGTTATATCTCAATATATGCTGCAGATTAGCCGACTGAGACATAAACAGAGTATCTTGGAAAATTCTGTCAGTTTTGACATTACTTTATGATTTTAATGTTTTGCCCTTTCGACTTCCGTCAAGTGGCAGTTGATAGCAGTATACCATATACATGTTGTCGCTTAATAATAAGGTATATGGTTTACAATTCGGTGTTCGTGTAGGACTAGGCAAAGTGCACGGGTATATGATTATCAAGGTACAGTGCAGGTGCTACACTAAGCGGGGTGTTACCTGCAGTTCTAAGCTATGTGAAGGGTGAGGAGAGTTTAGTGTAGCAATAATAACATTTTACTATGAGGTGGTAGTTATGTTAGGTATGGGACCATTGGTAGAAGGAAGGAATTTAGTGTGGTAGTGTAGCTATACAGATATAAAGTTAAACTGTACATTGGAGAGAACTATACTTTATAGATGTGCTTAGTGTGGGAGACGTAAAAGTGCCTACAAAGTTAGATGTGGTAATCTCAATTTTAAACCAGAGGTAGTAGCAATAGCAGTGAAGCTTTTTAATAACAAGATTGACCTTTTAATAACACGAAAGGCGTTTAAATAACAAGTTTGGCCTTTTAATGACAATAACCAATTGCGTTTTAATAACAAGATTGACCTTTTAATATCGAGTACCAACAGCTGACGTCTATACATGATGATAATAGTTTGGCAATTAGATGGTGGGTGAGGGAAGGTGGCTTACAATACCATGGCACAAACTGGAACAGGATATATCTTTCAAGTTCGGTTGTGCTCAGTGGTTCAGGGATGGTTTTCGTTCATTTGCACTAGTCGCGGAAACCAAGGCCAACTTGTTGCGTCGTCAGTACACAGTCAGAAGTTGTTTCTCTGCTCCTCCTCCAGATTTGCGTTCGATGCCTTAAAACGAAGATGTCAAACATACTTGTCACACTTGCCAGATACTTCTGGTGTCATTGTACAGGGGTACCTAGTGACAGCACTAGGATCCCGCTTCCTCTATCAAGGAATAAACAACTGAAATTGAAATTGAATTGATGTCAAACAATTATTATGCGTTCGATCCTAAAAGACAACTTGCTATGATATTTAGTTTGCTCTTGTTATTTTGAGATTTTGTACGGTCGAAATTTATCCAGCCTTATTCTGGTGCTGGAAATTTGTTCAGTGGCAAATTATCTAATGGTATTTGGTATTTTTCTCCGGTGTAACTTTGCCTATAGTAGGACTTTGTTTTTCAGTGGAATTGTGTTGGTGCATTATGGAGGGTTGTGTGGTGGGACAAAAATAGTCTGCCACTTGAGAATATACGAGTGTGGGGGGAACATGTGGTCCTGGTGACGTAGACGGTGGCGGTGTAGTGTAGCCGCGACGACGTGTGTTTTAGCGAGATCCCACCCACTGATTATTGTTGCAGCTGCTCCATCGCCAAAACTCTCCTAATGTTGCAATTTCAAGTTCCATCCGCAGTGTATTTATTATTATTATTATTATTATTATTATTGTCAGATATTACGGTAACATGATTTATCTTTTGGGCTTTTGTTGCTGCTTGGGATAAGTGAGATTTGTGTTAAATGCCTCCATATTTTGAAATGTAATCTACGTGTATGTTCATATATTACTTATGTTGTATTATTGCAGTGGTAGATTTATTGCAATTCTTTTGTTATGTTGTGACTTTTGGCGTAATTCTATTAAATATTCGATTATATTATTATGGTGTCGTCAAATGTTGCAATTTTCAACTCGCTAGTAGTTATCGTTTTCTGTTCTCGGAATATCAGATTTATGTGTAATAATATTGGTAACGTTTATTCACACCAAAACCTGTCTATCCTCACTGTGCTTGGCCTATCTAATGCGCGCCTTTCACGACTTGACAGATGGAAGATATTATGCATGGGGGTATTTTTTTCCCAAGTGTGGCTTAACTGGGTTTATGGCCGGTTCTAAATTACCCATGTCTTAGGATTATCATAGTGTAGTTTATTCTTTCTAACAGGGTCAGGCATAAGCAGGGAGGTAAGTGGCGTATATGAATAAGTGTATGAGTGCTGGATGCACATTTGTCCATTACTGCCCTCACACACTACCACACCCTCAGACATTGCCCACACACTCACACCTTCACAAACCCTCACTCAGACACCCTTATACAGTGTTACTCCCTCACACCCACTCACACAGTATCACGCTCAGCCCTCTCACACCTCTCTCCACACTTAATTGGTACCTAGATGGATTATCACCATTATATGTGTTGCTATGAAAACTTTATTGATAATGATGGGTGCTGG